GTACCTCTCAACCTCCTGCACAAGCTCGGGCTCCTTCCCCACCAGCGAGGTGACATTCCATGTCCCCAGGGCTAGTCTCCGTGTCCAGAGATCGGGTCGTCGGGGGCCCTGCCTTCGACTGCTGCCCAATCCACTGTGCACCGGCTCCTTACGGATCCTCCTGCAGGTGGTGGGCCCACGGGAGGACGTCCCCACGTCGCTCGTTCGGGCTAAGCCCGGTCGGGCCCCGTGAGGGTAGGCCCGGCCACCAGGCGCTTGCATTCGAGCCCCAACCCCGGGCCTGGCTCCAGGGTGGGGCCCTGGCTGTGCCATGCCAGGCGACGTCACGGTCCTTGATTTTAATCTATTCATAAAGGGCTTTTGAACCACTCTTAGTCTGACCCATCACCCAGGACCTGTTTGCCTTGGGAGACCCTACCAGGGACATATAGCCCCCGACAACATAGCTCCTAGGATCACTCGGGTACTCAAACCCCTCCATCACAATAAGGTGGCGGTTCAAGGAGGGGACCAATTTGTGCACTTTTATATTATTTCATGTAAACCATTTTAGGGCCCCGAGGAGCTAAAAGTATTTTTAAAAAACATAATAAAAGGAAAGAAAGGTTTGTCTGGTGATTCCTTGTGGATGGTTCAGAATAAGACTCCTAAAGGTGGAAAGTGACAGAGTACATTTACTGAGCATATCGTGCATCAATAAACAATGAGGTATTTGCATGAGTAGTTTTCTGTTTTATGCCATTTTGACTGAACTGAGAGATTTTAGCACTTTTTCCACCACTGCCTACAGGAAGTCATATACCATTGGCTGTTTTGGATCATGTCACTCTTGCACCCACAGTGGATTAAGAGAGAAAATGGGAGAAATGTGGATTCATGACCATAGATACCTGCTCAATGATCTGTCAGTCTTCAGCATTCCACTGATTAGTGACAACACTAAACTGTCCTGCAACAGCAGCCTGGAAAAATAAAATAAAATCAACAGCAGAAAAACAGCACAATCAAAAGCTACTGTATGAAGTGATACTCTCACTGCAGCCTTAGCCTTTTCTGCTCCCTCTGTCCTTGGCTGTGGATAAGAGTCTCTCCATTTTAATGTGTGTGTGTGTGTGTGTGTATGATAGAGAAAGAGAGCAGAAGGGGGAACCCTTTTTATCAAAAATGACTGATTACACAAGAACAGACAATAAATTAAAGATACACAGATAACAGTCCAAAATGGATGAGATGAAAGACAGAGGTTCCTACATGGAAGGCATCAGTGTCCTCATGCAATATTTCCACGCCTCCTTTCCCTCAGTGATGATGAAGGTGATATCTCCACCCCCACCACTCTCCCCATTGTATTTTCAGATCAATGAGAGAGAGAGAGTGGTCTGTGTTTTTTCAGCCAAACGCTGACAGTTGTGCAGCTGCCACACGTACGTGCTCATATCCGGGGAGAAATCGGGAGGGAGAGAGAGAGAGAGAGAGAGACGTCCCTCTTCTTTGAATGTGTTGCTCTGCAGACGCGTGCGTGACCTATCTGCTCCCGGATTTCCCTTCAACTTTTTTTTTTTTTTGCATTTTTATACTGTTTTCGTCGTCGCCTTCATTCATCATTTGAGCCTTTGGAATGAACTGTTTCCCTGCCTGCGTCGTTTCCATGTCAGCATGGGAACTGCTGTGTCCAGAAGGAAGAATTTAAGAAACGATGCGATATCTTCTGTGGCAGCAAAAGTTAGGTGAGTGATGTCCGGAGCTCTAAGCCTTTACACCGTTTTATAGCAGCCTCGGGAAGTCTTAAAAGGTCATTTAGCCTTCAGGTGCGAGTTACAATGAGTGACAGTTGGTTGTTTTGATAAATTACCTTTGCGCTATCCCTGGCATGGATAACCTGCCTTTGTAATGCGCAGAGAGGCTCTTTGCGCTCTCCGCACGTCTGTCCCGTCTAGCCCGACCGTGCGGCTGAGCAAACGTGTGCTTAAATGATTCTTTATTCTCTCCAAGCTGCACCTGTAACCAAAAAAACGAATCTACCTGTAGGAACGGTTGTGTTTTATTAGGACTAATTTGTGTGTAATAAGATAGTTCGTATTTTCATTTTGACTGAAGCATCACTGCGTAATGAAAGTCATGCAGAGGCAAAGCGAGGGCTGCTGTGACTCAAGTAGTGGTCCATTTTCTCAGTTTGGCATCATCTACAATAGCCTGTTATAGAGAGCATGCAGTTTGCTTTCCGTTTGGCTGCACTGACATGTGCTGACAGCGCATGAACGCTCCACTCACACGGGCAAGTGGGCCAGCTGTTAATGAACCATGAGTCATTGTAATCGATTAGGTCATTCTGCAGTGATCACCTATCACGGACAGTTATTGGAGCAGTCACAGATGTAGCGCTGGTAAGGGGCTGTTAATTTATTCAGCCCGGGAAAGCAGCGGGACTCAGACTGTTTGGCAGGAGTCCAGCCAGTTAAAAGCTCGCACTTCAGAAACGTACAGTGTATGGGCCGAAATGATTGTTATAATAGCCTCCGCATCCAGCTGTTACAGCATCACAGTAATAGCATCCTGCGCTGGTTGCATGTCTATGAGCCCGAGCTGAAGAGCACGTGTGGCTGTGTGGTCGGTCACATGAAGTGCAGACAGTGAGCTACAATCTTAAGTGAGATCGGAATACAAATTCTACATCTCGGGGCTTCAGCATCACGGCAGGGCGTGTGTGATTTTAAGTCAGTCAGTGAATGACCTTGACTTGTGCAGACTCCAACATTTGGGCTGATGTGCTATAAGGCCAGTGTGTGTGCCTTCCTTACATTACACAGCCTTCCTATAGTAGGCTATGTGAACATTCCTTGCATGCAGTGCAGTGTTTGAGTGTGGGTTTCTGTGTGTGTTCCACCTGACAAGATGCACACAAAATGACAAACGACCACAGAGGGTATCCTGAACAACTAGCCTAACCTACTGAGAGAAAGTGTACGTGTGTGTGGCTACATGTTTTTATAGCCCTGTCTTCCTTTTCGTGTCACTCGTTTCTCGTGCTCTCCTCTTTTCCCACACACAAACATCAGGGTTTACAGGGTTAATGAACCTTCCCCCTGTATATAGGAAACAGCTGAATCACATCCAATATTTCCTCTGCATATGTGGAAGCAAGCACTGAAAAGTGACTTCTCACCACTTCACACACACATAAACACATCTACATGCATGCAGTTAGGCATGTGTGTATACATAGAAATGCTCTCTCCATTTTATCTACATGAACAACTGTACACTCACTTCTCTTGTCCATTCTGTTTGATGCACAACCTGGACTCTGAATCTTAGCGCTGTCGACAGTGTTTGATCCATGGACTCCTCTTTTTCCATTTCCAAACGTTTTATGTAGCAAAATACATCTGTGCTAAAGGACTGTAGATCAGAATTTTTTTGAGAATCTGTTTTGCACTTTTATACATTCAGTGCTGATCTTGCATTGTGTCATAACGGAACACACCTTGAGCAGCTGACTGCACAATAGTGTCCTCCAGTGAAACATCTGGAAACAACTGGAACTATCTGCTTAGTTATTGTGGGACTTAAGAGGTTTTCCCCCTTTGCTTTTGTTGATTCAAGGCCAGACAGTTCATTTTTTCTTTTTACATTTGCAGAGATTGTAAAAAGTCTGTTTGCTGCTGCATGTTTGCAGGAAAATAGACAATTTATATTTGATGTTAAATTCACTTTAGATTACAGCAGGTCAGACAGGTTAGTGTGTGCCTATGTGTACTACCATCATGTTCCTGCATGCAAGGAACAGGTGATGAGTGAAGCTAGGTGCATGCACATACAGAGCACAGTCATAACTGAGCTGGGTTCATTAAGTTCTCGTTTGAAATTATATTAATATGATATTACTCATAATATAATTTGTTGGTTAAGTATAGACTCAGATGCAAGCACACACACTCTCTGTCTTTCTCTAAGTGTAACCTTGTGGGGGTGGCTGTGGCTTACGAGGTAGGGCAGTTGTCTTCTAACCAGCAAGTTGGTGGTTTGACTCCTGGTCTCCCCGCATGCCTAAGTGTCCCTGAGCAAGACACTGAACCCCAAATTGCTCCCGGTGGTTCGACTGGCGCCAGTGTGCAGCAGCCTCTCGTCATCGGTGTGTGAATGGGTGAATGGTGTATGATCTCCTGTAAAGCGCTTTGGCCAGTGTAACACACTGTGAAATATGCGCTTATATAAATACAGTCCATTTACCTATTCAGAGTGCCGCTGTACATCTCATCTGTTTTGATCCACTCTCTGACCTTCTCTTTCACATAAACACACACACACACACACACACTTTCTTAGTATTTAGAACCTTATTGGCAAATAACAGTTGTGCGACTGTGTTTGTGTGTATATAAAGGTCTGACTCACTGTCCTTTGTCAACATTTCAGGACAAACAAGACAAGTGACAGTAAACTCTGTCTCACTCCAGTACGTACAGACACACACACACACTTTTGGATTATGAAGAGCCAATAATTCCTCCTCATAACCAATTAGATCTTTATGTATAACTGTAATCCTTATGTTGACCTTAATGTAATCCTTATTCTGGCCTCAGTCATAATCACTACCTACCTAACACCATCCCTTAATGCTTAAATCTTCATTCTAACCCTACCCCTCAATCCTAAAACAGCCACTTAAAGAAATGCCCTCATGCTACACGTGATAGTCTCAAATTGACCTAAACAAACAAGCAATGAATACACACCCATACAGTAAACCCACACTGTGCATACACACTTATTTTGTCAGAGAACATTAGTCTGATAGAAGTGCACAGTATGAAACATTGATTAAATAAGATGACCTGTTTGTGGAGGTCATCGCTTGAATTGTTTGAAAGAGCAGTGAATCTGACAACCAGCAAATGCACTGCACACTGAGAAGCACCTAGAGGATGGAGACTGTCCTCACAGGAAAGAAACGTCACTCTCAAGGCCACAAATATCAGCCTTGTGGTGGCACAAGAAGCAATGTAAGGGACAGTCAAGGTCAGTAGGATTCATCCTCTGGGGACTATGAATGTCTTGACAAACTTTCATAGTAATCCATCCAATAGTTGAGATATTTCAGTCTCAACAAATGCAGTGGGTTGACTGACCTTCCGACACTGAGCTTGGCTAAAAATGTCTTCTAAAGTGTCTTTGTTCAGCTCAGAAAACACTCATAAGCACAGCTTTGGAAAGCACCAAGCATGGGGTCTAGCTGGTGGACACATACAGTAAGTGTTAAAGACAAAATGAATAGGAAAACATACAAGCAAAACACAGGAAACAAAGAGACACTGGTTCCTTGTACCTGGCGTTCACATGTGTCATCTTTTGCAATGTTCATATATTGCTGGGTATGAAATTGGTCACACACTCTCCTCCAGTGGCTCACAAGAAGTAGCAAGTGACGGAGAGCGAGGGGGAAAGAGAAAGGAGATATTTCTTCAGATTTACGCAGCAGAATTCTGCGACATTGAGTGTAAAGGAAAATCCTTTGATCTTACTGCCAACTGAAGAGGAGGGCTGTGCCG